CCACAAGGAAGTTGTGCGAGGAAGAAAACATCTTCTAAATCGCACAGTGGTGGACCGCCATTCTGCCACAATGTGCGTTCGTGAAATTTGGCGGCTGGAATTAATTCCTTAGAGCACTCCCCGTGTTAAATGCTAAAGAAAATGCAAAGGGATGCAACATCTCTTCGCAGTGCCAATGAATCGAGCTGATCGGAAAGGACTCGGTCGTCGACGATTCGAGCCGCTCTGCGCTGGATGCGGTCAAGTGGAAGGAGCTGACACTGGGGAGCCCCTGCCCAGAGATGGCAACAGTATTCCATGTGAGGCCGAACCTGCGCCTTGTAAATACTGTCCCGTTCTGCTGAGCACGCCAAGCTTTTTAGAGGCCAATTTGGCCTTCTCTTCCAAGTGACCACGAAACTGCACGTCACTCGATATGTCGACTCCGAGGATTCCGATACTGGCTGAGGCAAGAAGGGGAGTGCCTTGAAACTGAGGAGATACGACAAAGGGGTTCTTTTTAGCGGTAAACGCGCAAACTTGTGTCTTCTGAGAATTAAACTGGACTAGATTTAGTCGCCCCCAATCCGAGACTTTGTTCAGCAAAGACTCGACTTCAGACACAAGTTTGTTCCGGTACTCGGCGATGTTTTCCCGAGAAATATTGGCACGGCCGGTGTATAAAGCATCACCAGTGCTGTCATCCGCATAGCAATGAATGTTACCAGTTAGTAACATATCATTGATATGCTGAAGAAACAGCGTTGGTGATAGCACACAGCCTTGTGAAACACCAGCGTTAATAGGCTTGTAGTCGGAGCATGCACCGTCTACAATGACCATGATGTTCCTATATGCAAGGAAACTGGTGATCCAATTGTACAATTTCTCAGGAAGCCCATAGGAAGGGAGCTTCGAAAGAAGCGTTTTATGCCAAACCCGATCGAAGGCCTTCGTAATGTCCAAACTAACGGCCAATGCCTCCCCCTTGGACTCTACTGCCTCCGCCCATCTATGGGTCAGGTAGACCAGAAGATCACCAGCTGATCGACCTCGACGAAAACCGTATTGACGGTCACTAATCAGCTGGTGATCCTCAAGGTACCGCGTGAGCTGGCAGTTAATAATGGATTCCAATATTTTGGAGAACAAGGAGGGGATGGCGATAGGCCTGTAGTTGGACGGGTCTGAGCGGTCGCCTTTTTTAGGGATCGGGTGGACAAAAGCTGTCTTCCATGGATTCGGGACTACGCCTTGGGAGTAGGAGTACCGGAAAAGACGCGTTAGGACCGGTGCCAACTCCGGAGTACACGTCCTCAGCACAATTGGGGGGATTCCGTCAGGCCCACTCGACTTCTGGATGTCCAGGGCGAGGAGTGCTTTGCGAATCAAGTTCTGTGAGAACAGCACATCTGGCATGGAGCACTCACACCGTGGGATGGTCGGCGGTATTTTCCCCCCGTCTTCAAGAGTCAAGTTGGACGCAAAAAGGGAAAAAAGGCTTTGTCCTTTGCGGCTTGGGCCAGTGAGTTAAGTGTAGGATATGCCAAAGTTTCGTGATACTGCTGTCACGCTTGGTGTAGAAGTATTTTTAAGTGCTTGTAAAATAAGCTCCTCTTTATGAACAGGTTGCACCTGGATTAGTTTCAGGTTCCGAGCGTTGAATTCTTCCAGTTTCACCAAGGCAACGAAACGTTCTACAATACCCTGAAGTTTGACACTCGACGATCAGGATAATGTTCTTTATACAATCGTCGTGCTAAAACCCCATTGCCATCGGCTTTGCCGTACATGTAAATGATATCAGCATAATCTTCATTGGTGAAAGAACTCATTTTATCCACAAAAGTGTCCAAAAACCACGTAGTCACAAGTGAAAAATCTCGACGTCAAGATAGATAACGGAGCTGCAATTTTAACACAATAAAAGCTCGGAATCGGAAGTAAATATGTAGGTCAAAGTGCACGAGTAGTTGTAGCTAGCCCATAGAAAAATTAAATTTTTTATTAAAAATCATCCCATACCCTAGTGCGTCATTTGTGACCTGAGTCATTTGTTAAAAGTGTCGGGTTTTGCGCTCTAAATCTGATAAATAGGGCATGTGTACAAAGTGTTTTTAAAAATGTTTGAATGTCTACTTTTTTTAATGCGTTAACAATAGAGATATTAACTTTTACAAAAATTTCTAATTCTTCAGCATGTCTAATTTAGTTAACAGTCTGTACACAGTTGATTGCATTGGTGTTTGTCGATTGAATACACATTAAGCTAAGATAAAAAACAAGGTTTTATGTACTGATTGTAGCCGGTTTGCATCGTCCGTCCGAACAACCTGTATAAGTAAAATTAAATTGACTACGATTAATAAGTTAAAATGTATACAATTATTGCTCATAGTGCCGATAGACTTGAAACATAAATTTTTATTACTACAATGAGTATGAAAAACCCATAGTAATTCCATAGTTTTTAATTTTCATTTCTGTCGGTAGTTCCAATAATTGCCAATTTTTTCGGTTAGGAGGTTTGAGATAATGACGTCATTAACTGTCTGCTGGATTAAGCTGTCGTCAAAACTTCCCAAGAACTTCACAATGTGACGCATCAACATATTGCGTAGTCCTGTGAAGAAATACATATTTTAACGTGGTCAAAGTAAATATACACTACGCGAAAAGAAACGACATTTAAGCATGTGTGGACGTAAAATCGCTTGCGGCTATGTGTGGGTGTCTGGATATGTGCGGGGGCCTTGAGAGGTGCGTGGGGCGTGGAACGGGCCGTTGCCGCACAGACTGACTGCGCTTTATACAAAAATAATGCCTATTCATTTGTATATAGTTATTCTACCCTTATTTAGTTACAATATTTGTTTATATGTATGGCACATTTAGGTAATATATAATAGTTTTAAAGTATCTATTTGTAAAAGTAAAGTAAAGTAAAGTTGCAGCCTATTTACGTTCCATGCTGGGCACAGGCCTCCCCTCACTGCTGAGAGGGTTTTAGGGCAAGGGAATGTCCGCTGCGCTCCCCCAATGCGTGTTGGCGAACTTCACATGTCTTCGAAATATTTTTTTTCTTATTTCTCAGACATACAGGTTTTCTCACGGTGTTTTCCTTCACCGCCGAGCACGTGATAAAAAATATATTTGTACTTTTATATATTTATATTTATAAAAATATATATTTATATAAATACATATATATTAATATGTATGTATGTATTTATCTTATCTATGTACTTATATATATATTTCTATTTTATGGCTTTAATAAAAATAATGTTATTTCTGTCGTCAAATGATACGAGTTTATTGTTTTCTTGCAATCCTGTCCATCCAAAGGTTGCCTGTAAGAGATCGCTGTTAGCGATAAGACCACCCATTGTACCACATTTATTTTTCTCACTTTTTGTTAATATTTATGTTATTTTTTGGCGGACAATAAAGTCTTATCTATCTATCTATGCTTCCCTATGGATTTTCTAAAAAAATTATACATGCGGTTACAAATTTTTGCAATTGTTAGAAATAGTAGTAAAAATTATAAAAGTCATCGAAAAAGCCAAAAATATATAAGAGAAGCCAGAAATAATAAGTAATTTTTAAAGGGTGGTAGGTAATACTGATTATTGCGTACTGAAATACTAAGTGTTGGTTAATTATTTAAGATTACCATTAACTGTCGTGCATATTTTGTTTTGTCGGAAATTTTAATTTTCCCCATCTGTAAAGGTATTTAATAAAAGTTGATTTAAATTTGATCGCATCTTTCACTACCTAAATACATAAGTTTACATTATATAACACTAGATGACCCGGCGAACTTCGTACCGCCGAACAGTCGATTCTTTATTTTTTTTTAATACATATTCTGCTATTCGGGACACCAGGTCAGCTAGTAAGATAAAAGAAGGAAAAAGAAACTTGATAAGTCAACAATTACATTTTGTTAAAAAATAAAAATTATAATACACTTAAAATTCTTTTAATAGTCACTAAAAATCACAGTGAAAATTACAATTTGTGACTTCTTATTATGATACCTACTTAATATATTTAATTTTATTTTTACTTATTCTAAATTAAGTTTCCATCGTATAAATGTTTGTCAATATTTATACGATGGAAACGTCACTCAATGGTTTTACCTTCCCGGAACCCTTCCTAGTGGACACTTAAACTTTATGGTATGGTATTAAAGTTCAAATTTACTTTTATGTATTATTACGAATCTTTTGTATGGGAATATAGAAAAGTGTTGTTTTTAGACTTTTTCAGGCAATTTTTTAAATTTTTCTCTCCGTAAGAACCATATTCGTACTTCAAGGAATATCATAAAAAAATAATTAGCGAAATCGGTTCAGCTGCTCTCGAGATTTGCGCTTAGCAACACATTTAGCGATTCATTTTTATATTATAGATAAACCTACTATGTATCTTCTTTGGCACAAGTCTATAATATTCCATTTCAGTTCGGTAACAACCCTAGCGTTACACGCTCCGGTTTAATGTCACCGGCACTTAAACTGTCACTTACAGAGAGTGTCACCGCTGTGGCGTGGTAGAGGCTCGCTGCAGCAGTATTATGTCGGCAGCACGAATAGATTGGCACCACCAGAAAAGGATCAAACTCTCACGGAATACTTGCGTAAAATAATAGCCTAATGCTGTTGTATTTCACATGGTTACTGTAGAGAACTGGAGACCATTTTTCCTGGTAGCTGGGCGTTGTATGTTGCTCCTCAGAGGTCAGGGTTGACAGTGCGTTATGATTCTTTTTGGTTCTCATAATTGTGGCAACAGTCCTTCGACGATTACACCAGTTTCATCGCAATAGAAGGTTCACAGCATCCACATTCTGTCAAGTGGACTGTGTGCTGATTTATAACGCTTTATAAAAAAAATAAGACTAGACTGTATAGCCTAAGACCTTTGCCTGCTTTAAATAGTGAATGGCATGATAGCAACGAAATTTCTATGGTATGGTTTCTTTCAATTTTCAATTGTGATTACTCACTTTGATTTGATTTTACTGAAGTTTATAACATAAATTAAATATAAATTAATAAACAGTAAGTTATATTATATTTAAACCTTAAATGCTATCTTTATTTTATGAGATTACACTGACTATTACAGATAGTAATATACGTGAATGGTGTTTTACTGTATGTTGCCGGTAATAAAATGTGTTATATTTGCAGATGTTCCTAACACGATCAGAATATGACCGAGGTGTCAATACATTTAGCCCGGAAGGAAGACTTTTTCAAGTAGAATATGCAATTGAAGCTATTAAACTTGGGTCTACTGCCATTGGCATTTGTACTTCTGAAGGAGTAGTGCTTGCTGTTGAGAAAAGGATAACTTCACCACTAATGGAGCCAACAACCATAGAAAAGATAGTAGAAGTTGATCGTCATATTGCTTGTGCTGTGTCCGGATTGATGGCTGATTCCAGGTAAATTTAAAGGTTACATACATTCATACAGTGCTTGACAGTTTATAGAATTGGCACAGCAAGTCTGCTAATGATTGTACCTGTATGGCTTTAAAGATTGTATTAAATTTTATTGTGTTGCTGCTATATTAACAGGTATTTTGGTTGATCCCATCATTCCATAAACTAGTTACTGCTCATAACATAGGTAACTAAATTAACATCTTTTATCTGACAAAATTAAAAATTACTCGAAATCTTCTTAACATTTAATTATTTAAAATCAACGGCTCCGTGGTGCAGTGGCTTAGCAATTAGTTCCAGCGCTGGGGGCTGCAGGTTCAAATTCCACACGGAACAAGTATTTGTATGGCCTACAAATAATTGTTCCAAGTCTGGATGTTTGTCCTTGTGCAATTTATGTTTGTAAACTGCCTCCACGATACAGGGGAAAAATCCTAGTGTGGGGGTAATGTTTTTTTAAAAAATAATAATAATGTAAAGAAATAATACTTAAAGTTAATAATTAAAATACACTATTTAAAGGAGACATTGAGCTAAGAAAAGGTAATGCAAATTAGACATTAAATTGATATTTTATTATTAAATTTACCTGATAGGCAGCAGCATCCAAAGTGTGCAGTGTAACTGTCAATTGCCATGACAAGCAGTTTGAATTAAGTCAAATCCTTACAATGGGAGAGGCCAATGTCCACCAGGGGACTTTTATTGGCTAATAAAGAAGAAGAAATGATAAAACAGTCTTCAATTTACCAGTAGAGACATTACCAGTAATAGAAACATAATAATAAACTTGTTTTGTTGTAAAATATAGATGTGTGTAGATCATAAGAGATTTGGCGAAATGAAGTATTTATTTGTGGTTGGTCAAAATCAAATGGCCTGCATTTGCGTTAATGATTGACATGAGCGAGTATCTCAGATATCACAAAACCAAAATGAGCTAGAACCCAGGTTGATAGCAAATTTTATCAAGGATCATTTTGTACCTGCACATTTTTCATGTATTGTTATTGTGCGCTTTGGGATGTTTTCTGGGGCGAATGGGGGGATGACGTTCATCCGGGGAGGGAGAGTGGATACAATTTAACTTCGCTCTACAGTGTACATATTATGCTGATAGATAAAAGTACACCATTAATTTTGCCAATCTTTTAGCTATAATGATTGAACTAACCTTGCTCATAGAAGCGTTCACTGCTGCTTTCTCTCGGTTCTCATCGAGCGGCTAAGGTTTATGCATTGTTTGTGGGCCAACATAGTTTTCAATTATTTAAATTTTTCATTACCTCTTAAACTATGCATCTAAATAACATGCTATAAAGAGCAAAGTTTACCTTCATAAAATTGTCTTGATAATGAAGTAATTTTGCCATGCCTAATAATAATGCTTATAAATCACTTTTTAATTTAATAATTTTTTGATCCAAAATACCTTATTGTGGCTTATGTATAAGAAATAGGCATATGATATCGTGGACTTTTGTTTAAATGGAGTGGAGGATCTGTATTTTTGTAGAACAATGTATTTACGTATCACTAACCAATATGCCAGAGCATGCGGATAAATCATTTCAGGAGTGTTTTTCTTCTGACTTGCTTAACAAAAATCAATATTTAAGGCTAGATGAGAGGTGTAGCCTAATGTTAGATAGCCTATACTATTCCTCATGAATCTGGCTATAATATACATAAAGAATTTTTCAAATCGGACTAGTAGTTCCAGAGATTAGCATGTTTTAACAAACAAAAAACTTCTGCTTTAGTATATTAGTATAGATTACCTCCAATCGTCATCTATTTAATCATCTCAGTTATAAAATGCTTATGCTATAAGAGTAACTATAAATACAGTTTACTGTTGCCATACTGAAAAAAAAAAGTACAATAAATGGTTTTGTCAGGCTTTTTTATAGGAAAAGAGAGGCAAAAAGTGCACCTGATAGTAAGTAGATGCTGTGGCCCATAGACATCTACATCTATTCTTGATTAAGAATCAAAATGCAGATGCATTGTCATCCCTGAGGACTAACATGAAATGCCTAGTTTCCAGTAAAAAGGGTCTCCGATTCTCTAGGCTCCCACAACTCAAACACAGCAGCATTAAGCTGCTATTTTACACTGGTGTTCTGTGAGAGTGTGATCCTACCCTGGTCGAGCTGACCCATACATGCTACAACCATAATATATCAGCAGCGTGGCTCTACCACATTTGATTTTCAACCACATCAACAACTTCTAAATAATCTGAAATTTTCAACTGCAGCTGTTACATCATAGCACTGTGTCTGATATGAGATGTAGTATTTAATTACATATGTATATATCCTGACATAACAATAATTCTTCCACAAATAAATAAATATCTTTTGTTTCCAGAACACTTGTGGAGCGTGCCCGTGTAGAGTGTCAGAACCATTGGTTTGTATACAATGAACGCATGAGCGTAGAGTCCTGCGCTCAGGCTGTGTCCAACCTGGCAATACAGTTTGGTGATAGTGATGATGACAGTGGAACTGCAATGTCTAGACCATTCGGTGTTGCAGTGATGTTTGCAGGTTTGTGTGGGATTATTCACTTCCTAAGGCTGCTAGGTCTTAAAGTGATCAAGTGGCTGCTAACAGTTAGGTCTTAAGATTGACATTGTCAAGATAAAGGCTTTGTGTAACATTGATGTCACACCTATGTCAGTAATTGCTAGGAACACTACAAAGTGCTCTAGGAGTATGTTTACCTAGGATAAATTGTCCAACTTAAACCACATGATTGATTAATGGCTTAAACTCAACTGAGCAAGGCAACATTCGGGAGGTTACGTCATACCTTCTTCAAAGTTTTTAAGTCAAACCATGAGAAATTTAGTTACAGTAGTGGTAGTAGTTAATATTATAATTAAACATTACATATTTGTAAAACATATCTAACCAATTTTAAAATTTAATTAACATTTAAAACTAATTTCATTGTGTAATTCTAAAATGTTTTTGTTATTTAGGCATTGATGAAAAGGGGCCACAACTATTCCACATGGATCCCAGTGGAACATTTGTTCAGTATGATGCTAAAGCTATTGGATCCGGTAGTGAAGGAGCTCAACAGAGTTTGAAGGTAATGTAATTTAGGTAAAATGAGTTGCGAGTAGTAACTATGTGACTTATTTATAAATTAATCAATAGCTAGAAATGGACTCATGACTTAAGAGTTATTTTCCTTTTTCAGGAAGTGTATCACAAGTCAATGACTTTGAAAGAGGCAATCAAGACAGCTTTGACAATTCTAAAGCAAGTAATGGAGGAGAAACTATCCGAAAATAATGTAGAAGTTGTGACAATGACTCCTGGCTCTATGTTCCATATGTTCACGAGGGAACAGCTCGCAGAGGTCATTAAAGATATACCTTGAGTTGGTTAGTTGTAATGTAGACATGGTTATTGTTTATTTTTGTCATCTAAATTGTTCAAAGAACATAAATATAAAAGATGAAAATTCAAAATTCAAGAATTGTTATACATATTTAGCAAGGCAATATTTAAAGTAAACCATGCCTACATTCAACTTATATAAGTATAATAGAGTACTATTTGAAATAAATTGTATTTAATTTTTTTTAATCATGTATGTATTTTTACTAGTAATATCACTGTAGACATTTTTCTATTATTAAATAAAAGTAGCTTAAATTACTGAAGAACCACAACTATAATATTGGCATATTTGTTGACAATATTTAGTAATTATACAATTTTATTCAAATACTACTCCTGAGGTGCGGTTTTGTCTAGAATCTTACAGTAAGTATCCAACGTTTAATAAAAAAGTCTTAAATTAGAAGGTTGTTTAATTTTATTCTCATATCAAGTAGATAGAGTAGCATATTATATGTAAGTAGAGACTTTTAAATAAAATTAGTTTTTACGGATTCTATCTTGTATATTAACATATTTTATAGAAGTCTTGCAGTATTAATTATAGGATCCCAAGCAGATGCCATACTTGCGATCCTATAATTAATAAAATTAAATCCGAACCCAAGCATACAACTGAAAGTCTTTCAAGATACTATAAGTTCATACTGCGTAGATCGGAACAAACAACGTGGTTAACTATAACATTGGGATGTCAAACACCTCAGTCCCCCTCCACCCGTGACCATGGGTGCTGTAAAGTGCTCGAAACGTCGGGAATATAAAATAAGTTATTTTACACGATAAAATCCGTAAATACTAGTTTTATTTAAATGTGTAGTGTTCGCGTAAATATAAGAAATCATTAAGTAGAAACTTATTCATCTATGTCAGTCAGCTGGTAGTTTTTGGTAACCGAGTCGAGAGATTAATCGACCAATCCAACTCTGTTGGATAGCGTTGAGAGGTTGCTGCACATTTTTTTGTCACGCATTCCTCGACCTTAAAAAAAGCGCTTACAACTAGTTTCTGTTGGCGGTGGTGACATATGGTTCAAAACCTTCACTTCCTTCCTTTACAGCTGACTGTACGCGGAAGCTTAAGGTCGCTCAGTGAGCTATAGACAGCTATGTTCGGAGTTTTTCTGCGTGATAGATTTCATACTGAGGATATTCGCAGTAAAACAAGAGTATCTGACATAGCCAAACGGGTCAACAAGCTAAAGTAGCTTGAAGAACCCATAAACTACGGTAAGGTGTTCTCGAATGGAAGCCTGGTATTAGTAAGAGAAGTGTAGCATTGTGCAATGATCACTTCTCTTCATCAGTCTATAACAGTCCATCGCAATAAATAATACTATAAAACTTCGTGGAAGCAAAAACTAGATGGAGGAAAGCCTTTAGTAAATAAAATTATAACGTCATGTCGGGCAACGAGTTCAGGACATTTGCGTGTCGCACAGCATTAATTTATTCTAGATTGTTTCGATATTCCCCTGGCAGTCCTGATCTGCCAGGCAAAGTATCCAAAACATTATGATATTTTCCTAGAAATAACCAGATAAGTCTTCCATAATTCTTTTCATTCTAGTTTAGTTTCATCTTACTTCAGGCGTGTTTGATTGAAGTTACTATTATAGTTATCAAGTTAGTTGTTACTTGGGGCAAACGAGCATGCGGCTCACCTGATGGTAAGTGACTACCGCCGCCCATGAACAACCGCAACACCAGGGGAATTGCAGATGCGTTGCCGGCCTTTTAGAAAGGTGTAAGCTCTTTTCTTGAAGGTTCCTAAGTCGTATCGGCTCGGAAAATTCGCTGGTGGTAATTGATTCCACAAAGAAGTTGTGCGAGGGAGAAAACTTCTTCTAAATCGCACAGTGGTGGACCGCCAATCATCCAGATGGTATGGATGGTAACGCGAGTTTTGTCGCGATGTACGATAGTGAAATTGAGCGGCTGGAATTAGTCTGAACAATTCCTCAGAGCACTCCCCGTGATAGATGCGATAAAATACGCAAAGAGATGCAACATCTCTACGCAGTGCCAGTGTATCGAGCCGATCGGAAAGAACTCAGTCGTCGAAGATTCGAATCGCTCTGCGCTGGATGCGGTCAAGTGGAAGGAGCTGGCACTGGGGTGCCCCGGCCCAGAGATGAGAACAGTATTCCATGTGGGGCCGAACTTGCGCTTTGTAAAGTTGCAAGCGATGTGCCGGCATGAAATACTGTCTCGCTCTGCTGAGCACGCCAAGCTTTTTAGAGGCCAATTTGGCCTTCCCTTCCAAGTGACCACGAAACTGCACGCTGTTCGATATGTCGACGCCAAGGATTCCGATACTGGCTGAGGTAGCAAGGGGAGTGCCTTGAAACTGAGGAGATACGACAAAGGGGTTCTTTTTAGCGGTAAACGCGCAAACTTGTGTCTTTTGGGCATTGAACTGGACTAGATTTAGTCGGCCCCAATCCGAGACTTTGTTAAGCAAAGACTCGACTTCAGACACAAGTTTGTCCCGGTACTCGGCGACGTTTTCCCGAGAAATATTGGCCCGGCCGGTATATAAGGCATCCCCAGTGCTGTCGTCTGCATAGCAATGAATGCTACCAGTTAGCAACATATCATTGATATGCAGGAGAAACAGCGTTGGTGATAGCACGCAGCCTTGTGGAACACCAGCGTTGATAGGCTTGAAATCAGAGCATGCACCGTCTACTACGACCTTGATGCTCCGATCAGCAAGGAAACTGGTAATCCATTTGCACAATTTCTCGGGAAGCCCATAGGAAGGAAGCTTCGAAAGAAGCGCCTTGTGCCAGACCCGATCGAAGGCCTTCGCTATGTCCAAACTAACGGCCAATGCCTCCCCCTTGGACTCTATCTATGCTAGTTTCCTTACTAGAGGCTGGTGAGATTCATTCTAACCAAATTTGTGTCACTAGTAAGACTTAGCACTCCTTCCATCGCGTCCAAAGCTTGGAAGGGGTGGCTAAAGCTAGGTGGCATTTTGCAGCACCCGTACATGTATGGCAACAATACCACGGGACTTGTGCTTCATATAGGGTAAGCAACTGTCCCGGCGTGAAGAATTGCTGCACTTTTGCAAGGACAGCTAACTTCTTTAGTCCCGGTGTCAATGAAGCGCCCCAAGTTCAGGTTCGACGAAACCTCAAACCCCCGGAAATAAAGGCCGTCGGTGAATTGTGAATTTGATACGTTTCGGAAAGGAGCAAAGGTGATTTAGTTCCTTTTCGCGGTGAAGTGACACGATTGTGTATTGAAGGCGTTGAATCTGACGAGATTGGCATCGTCTTTCGTCTCATACAGAGACTGCCTGCCAATGAAAGAATGTTAAGGAAGAATTAATTGGCTTTGTTGAGTTACGAAAAAATGTATGCCCAAACGATAGTTGCTGAAATTAATAAATTCATCAGTGCATTAAATATTGATGTAAACAAATGCGTGGGACATGGCTACGATGGACGTGCTATGATAGAGGGAAAATACGGCGGTGTCCAAAAATACGTATAAAAGGGTTTATATTTTCACTGCGCCTGTCACAAATCTTGTAGTAAACGACTTAAATAATGTTCCTGTGATCCACAACTGCATTGGTACTGTAAAAAATAGGATAAATTTTTTCGGAGAATCAGTTTTGCGTCAAAAATATGCACCGAAAATACCATTGCTGTGTGAAACAAGGTGCTCTCATAAATACAAAAAGTATTTCGATGTTTAAAAAGCATTTTGTCAAAATTGTGGAAGGTTTGAAAAACTTTTTTAGGAAGAGTATTCTGGGACAAGAAAAGTAGCTTTCCAGATGCTATCCGGTGTCGGTTAAACCAGTACTACAAATAAACAAGTACAATATCCAGCTGCAACCGGTCGTAAACATTGCAGTCTAAAACCCTGGACGTAATTATGTGTGCAGAGCACTTTCAAACCATTACAACTGCAGTTGCAGAACACAGGCGTTCTGTCGAAGAAGGGAGTGAGGAATTTTAAAATCAGCTAATGAAATTGCTGTGACTTTGAACGTAGCGCTGCGTCTTCCAAGGGCAGCAAGCCGCTAACAATATAGGGCAAATCATCTAGTTGGTTCGTTAAGCGAGAATTTCCGCCGTACACTATACGTGCCCTATTTTGATTCGTTACCATCCTCATTAGAGGCGAGGATTGGCAAAAACAAATCACCAGCGTTTGCTTTTTCATGTTACACCCTGATCAAATAATGAAAATCACAGCTCCAAGTTTAAAAAAAAACTGTATGAAGTATGCAAATTTTCTGAATTAGAAGGGACCACATCAGAAGCCGAACAGTGGTGCACTTTTTGGATAAACGAGTAGAACGGGGACAACTTTGGAGATGATAAAAATCTTGTAAACAATATGGGCGATTCTTTCACGGGAGACGTCATAAACAGTTTTGCTGAAGATCCTCGAAAATTACTTTTAAAATACATGTCTATGTTTAAAATTCAATATCTGTTTTGGGACCTGGGTCAAAAGCTGGGTACGCCCATGTTTAGTCATCTCATAATAACCTCAAAACAAGGGAAGACGTTTGCGGATGTTGCCCGAAAATCTTTACAACCGGCACCCTCTTGTGGTCGAAAGCGAAAGAACGTGGAAATAAAATCAGTTCCAGTGGTGACCCACGACAAAATTGATAAGGACGGGTTTACTCTTGTTGAGAAGAGACGTCTGTCGAGACCCGTCTGTAACCAGCGTGGGACCGCGAAAATAAACGCGAGTACAACTCTGTGTGCTGTAGAGCCAACTATATAGCTCTACATCTCCCGTTTGGACAAAAGTAGGTCAGGAGAAGACGTCCTGCGTTTCGTGGAAAAACGAAGACGATGCCACATTGTGGATCCGATCTCTTTAAATTTGCAGCGTCTGGAGTCTAATAGGTCAACGAACTTCAAATCCTACGTACGCCAGGTTCCTGCAAAACACAAAGAGACATTCCTCGCTCCTGATTTCTGGTCCTCTGGGGTAGTGTTTCGCCGATACAGGGACGCGCCAAAGAAAAAAGTTCCCTAAATAGTGTTATGTCTATATCTATATTTTATATATATTTTTAGGTTAAGGTATATATTGCTTTGGGCCAATGTTCTTAATTTTTAAGTCCTTGATGCCTGAAATAAAGTTATTGTATTGTATTGTATAGACTAGGAATCTCATGAGTATGATAGAATAAGATGTTACGAGTAGATACCTCCAACAGTTGGGTATAGGCCTCCTCTCATTTCGGAGACGATTATGGAGTAATTAGTTTTGTTGTGCCCAGTGTTTGCGTACTTTACATTTTCTCGAAAGGCTAAGGTAAATGAAAAAAAATTAAGGGTTTATTATATTACTGAAGAATACATGATTGATTAACCTCTGGGAATAAGGGATCGCTACCATGCTGTTTCTATGTTT